TGCGCTGCTTTTCGGTCTGGTTACTACCGTTTATGTCAGAACCGGTGACACCGGTACCCATCCCTACTCGGGACCTCTCGGGCTGCCACCAGCTCCTTTGGGGGCGTTTGATGCATCTCAGCAGGATCCTGTTCACCCTGCAAAGGAAACTCATTTCTGCTGTTTGAAGTTGAGAGTAAAAGGTATGCACAGCCCCCGGGCTCATGGTTTACTGGACACATTAAAGGTTAGGACCAAAACTTTAAGTAACTAAAGCCACATGACTTTTTGGGATCTTTCCATGGAATAACTGCAAACATAAGCTGTGTGATCAGAGGTACAGCTTATGATACTTGGCAGGGATAGTCATGATTTTGAATATTTGAATAGTCATTAAATCATAAAGACAGAAAACGTTCAGAGACTTTGATTCGACACCATGGTACACACTCGTGTAGATCTGAATTGACCATATCCCCGGCAGCATCACAGCCTGAATCACTGATACAGGGCAGGATGAATTGTGTGAACTGTTGCCTCAGTTTCCTGTTCTTAGCTGACTGAAGTGGCACCCACTGTGGTCTCCTGCTGCTGCAGCTCATCTGCTTCAATGTTTGACATGTTGTGCATTCAGAGATGCTCTTCTGCATACTTTTCCTGCAACAAACTGGATTTTTTTTTTGTTTTTGGACCGTTCTCTGTAAAATCTGGAGATGTTTGTGTGCCCAAATTATATCACCCATCTCTGAAACATCAGACTAGTGAGGCACCAACATCCTGATACTCGGTTTGAACTTCAGCAGGTCATCTGGTCTGTAAGATTAGCTGATCATTTATTTGAGAAGCAGTTGTACCTAATAAAGTGGCTGAAAAATAACAATAATAGATGAAGAATGGTGCAGTGTTATGGGCGTTGTACCAGTAAAGCGTTTGTAAAATTAACTGCTTCTGTATAAACAAGAGAAACATGCAAAGCCATCGAAATGTTGACTCTGCACGTCTTCTTCCTCTACAAAGACTTCTCAGGGATTACACGTGTAGCTAAACCTCTTTACAGTGACACAAAGGGGAGTTTTGCTAACAAATGACTGCATGTTTGCACCAGAGAACTGACCACTTGTTAGCAAAGACTTTATCTGGAGCTGCAAAATTGATGTTCAAAGGTTGTGGTAACCACAGACCTCAATTCTGGTATCCAGTCCCTAAAAACTGTACTGACATCAAGACAAGGACACCAGAACATGCATTTTTCATGACTCAGTCACATCACACTCTTTGAGAAATATTTACCTTTGGCTCCTGCTCCTGCATGTTTTTAGCCAAAGCATCCACAGCTGGTCATGTCATCTAGAATTAAGTTCCAGCTTCACTCATCCTTATAAATCCTCATCATTCATTCCCACCTGTTTGACTATGTGTGACTGTATCACAGAGGAGTGTCATGGTCCCAGGGAGGCTTTGATTAAGTTTCAGGCTGTCATATTTGAAGTAGTATTTTTAGTTCTCTGAGTGTTTCATCTTCCTGTGTCTGTTCCCCAGTCTGAGTGCTGTCTCTGTAATTGGTATTTGTCTTTTGTTTACTTCCTGGTAACTTCCTTCCTGTCTGTTTCGTCTTTAGTAAATTATGTTACTTGCATGTTCCTCGCTGAATAACTTCATGTTTAGCATGTTTCAGTGTCTCCTTGTTTCATGGTTTATGGTTGTTGTTGATTTCCTGTTTTATTTTGGTAGTTGGTTCTTGTGGCTTGTTTGCTCGTTTCTTAGTTTTGCTTCCTTCCTGCCTGATTGTCTTGATCACCTTCACCTGTGTCTTGTTCTCACTCTCAGACTGTATAAAGAGTCTGAATGTTTAATGTTGAGCCGAGTGCTGTTCTTCAGAGATTTCTATTGTAGTCCTGCCATCTGCTTGGGGTTTATCCTCCAGGTTCATTGTCAGTGAAGCTCCTCATCATCTGGAGGTTCTATGTCCTGCATTTGTTTCAGCTTCTTACTGCACCTGAGGGATCGACTGTGAAGCCATCGTTTTAATGGTCAACGATGGCTCTGCACACACATTAACTCTTTTTGGACACGTTTCATTCCTGTCACCGTCACCTCCTTCAATCAAATGACCTTTCAACAGCTTTCTGTGCTCTCACTGTGTTTGGAGACTTTACAAGAGCTTTCATCATTCGTTTCACTTTAGCTGAAAGTACTTTTCTGTGCTTCAAATGAAATAGAAACTTTGGATATTTTTGCTGCTTTCATTCTTACAGCTGACTTTGACTGGATCTTTCCCTCTTGAAAGTTTCTATCAGGCTTCATCCTCTGTACGTTCTGCTGTTTTTCTGTCTTCATTTCCATTTAAATCTCTTTCTGAACATTTTCAAACAAAGCCTCCCATCCTGTCTGTTCTCTGCTGAGGTTTTCTTTGCTTCACGCTCAGAATAACAATAACAGAAAGAGAAACATGTGGTGATGCAATCTATCTCAGCTGCTTTCTTTCCTGTAGGGGTGAAATCAGCCAGAGGGGATTTACTGCAGCTCAGCACCAGTATGCTGGATTTGAACTTTGTTTCTCCCCCGTTCTGGATTTTAAATGACAGTTAAAATGACTTTAGAATTCCTTCAGCAAACAACCAGAGAAACAGACCTGCAGCGATGTTTAACTCCAAAAAATCTGATTTCCAAAGAGGAAGACGAGTCAGTCTCTTCAAAATGTGACTCAACATCCTTTCCAACTTCCTGTTTGATTTTCTGATTGAACATTTTTGTCACTGTGAGGTTTCAGATCTGGAAAAACCAAAGTATGTTACCAACACAGCTGCTACTCAAACACCTGAAATACTCAAATATTTTGGCCCTCGTGAACATGAAGCATTAATTAAATGTAATGCAACTGAAATATATAAAATTAAATATGTTCAAATCAAAAATATATACATTGTATAAAGTGAATGTAAACCAATAATGTAAATTTCACCAGATTCCATTAAATCGAATGATTTACATGGTAAATATGAAACATTTCATTAAAAATGTGCAAATAATGAGAGTATTTAAGGTCAGGATTTTGGGCGTGAACATCATTTCTACTGTAGCATTCAACATCTCTGAATCTTGTCCTACATTTCTCGAGTTAGATCATATATTTCAGCACTTTTTCCACACAGAAGGAGTTGACGTCTCGCTCATCGGTGTCTCTTTTAATTAACTGTAACATGTGAGGTTAAGTTCTGAACCGCTGCCTTTCCTCCCAGCTGGTCACGGGAGTGTCATCGCTACTCTAAAAAGATTTACAAGTTGAGGAAAAAGTCCAGCTTCGAGTCCAGGAAGTGAGTGAAAGTCTTTGTAACTGACCCTGCAGTCGGGACCGTCAACATTATGACCTCACATAACACCTTGTGCAGGAGAAGCACTGAGTGATAACCCAGCCTCCAAGTGGAGGACCATCACTACGTCTCAGATGAGCCTACAGCTCAAAAACGGAAGAGCAGTCTTTGCAGTATCCAAGACAGAGTAAGGTGCATCTTGACGGGAGCGTGACAGGGGAATGATCACTTTGTCAGATAATCACAGGGCCGTGCAGCATGTATTTGTCCCTCAGCGTCAGACTGTCAGTGTGGAGATTTACTGAAAAGCCCAAACAGTCCAAACAACTGACAGCTGGGCGGCCTGCCATCAACAAAATTGTCACTCATCACCCGCCTTACTTGCCACATTTGACTCCTTGTTTCTTCCCCAAAATGAAATGTAAGCTCAAAGGTCACCATTGTGACATGCTGGCACTGTTTAATGCACTGAGCGAACTGAGCGTTCAGTTCAGTTCAAGTGTTTAGTGTGCTGGGAGCACTGGGAGCTGTGTTACCACTGCACAGCGATTTCAGATGCATCACGCCTCAGCGGTGAAAGATTTGCTCTAAAATAACGCAGAGACGACCGTGGGAGGAAACGCACCAGAAACCAAGCATGAGGCTGCCTGAGAAGCATTTGATTGGTGTAACTGATGGTGTAACAAAGATCATTTTTATATGTGATTATTAAAACATATTGAATTCAACACCTGACACCAGTGAGATCGGTTAACAGTTTATTGGCAAAGGTGTGAACACCAGTGAACCCATTAGGACCAGTAATCTGAGTGAAATCAGGCCCAGGATATCTAGTTACTGGGTGAGGTGCAGCAGTCACATCGGTGAAGGTTCAGAGTCGCTTATGAGGGTTCGACATTGTCTCCAAGGAACCTATATCGATGACATCATCACTGAGCCTGTGCAGGTCTAGGAACAGATGATGACGTCAAGGATGGGCGTTACGCAACATGCAGGTCTGCTCAAATATTGCATAATGCAATGCATGTGTGTGAGAGAGATTTGGCTCCAGGCCCCCAAATTAATCATAAACCGAAGGAGTGAGAGGGACCACACCCAACACACACACACACACATGCACGCACACACACACACACGTACACATGCAAGGCCGCTCATCTGGTTGCCATTAGCAGCCAGTCAATGACAACAGAATCACATGGGCTGGGCTCATGCACATACACACCATCGCATATTATTCAAATGATGCATGGATGTGTGTGCGAGTGATGTGTGTGTGTACGTTTGGGAGTGAGGTTGTGTTGTGCAGTGAAGGACTTCAGAAAGTGTGGATACTTTAAAAAAACAGGCTTGTTTGGTATGAGGGGGGATTTTTGAAAATGAGAACAAACTTTAGTGGGAACATACTGTGAAAAATAGGGACATATTCTGAAGTCAGGATCTTTTTGGATTGGAGAAGTGGAGGTTTAGGTCATGATCAGGTGTAAGCTGGTCCGACTTTAACATCAGCTCCAGTCTGCAACCAAAGGGGAATTCCACATCTCCTCCTCCTCTCCACCACTATCCCATCTCTTCATATTTCACTCCATTTGTTCTTGTCATGTTTCTCTCTGTGTGACAGAAACTCCCCTTGTAGACAAAGCATAAAATATTCTAAAAAAAACCCTTGAACAATTAAAAAGACTTTGGTTTGATCTTAAGTCGTTAGCATTGAACACAAATGTTTGGTTCAAGAGGATTAAACTGGATTAGCCCACATATCACTGACACTGCTGCGACTGTCTCTAATAAGTGTGATTTAATATTTGGCAGGATAATTTATGTCAGATAAATATGGTTAAAAATAATCTCTGACCCTAAAACAAGATGTTTTATTCCCTGTATGTTCTTGTTATACCCTTTATGTTCATTCAAAATTTCCTTCACATAGATTGTAGTCATATCCATGCAAGCTTCACATAGATTTAAGCTACGGATCCCTTTTAAAGTCATCTTCTGGGAGAAGAACAGATTTTGATGCCTCTCTGCTCCTCGTGCAGATTCTGTCCTGACAGAGGGAACTATCATCTTTCCTTGTCTCCTCCTCCCTGTGGGCTGTGTCCAAAACAACATCGAACCATCTCCGCAGGCCCCGTCAGCATGGAGCTGCTCGCCCTGTCGCTCAAACACAGGACCGGCGGCTCTTCAAATTTAAGCTCAACAATAAGTCTGAAGTTTAAAAAAGGGTTCAATACCAAGATCTGTCTGCTCTTTTTACTTCAGCAGCTCGCTCCACACATGGACACATTACAGAGTTGGAAGCGCTCACTCTGATCCAGCAGCTGTTTCAACTCTAGGAAACTACAAACTTTATGCATATCAAGCAAATCTGGACTTTTTGGGCTTTAAAATGACAAAATAATTCTCTTCTTTTCGGAACCACTTGATTTTTCTCTCTAGTCTAGATTGAGGACTAAATCAACACTGGTACCAAAATCTATCAAAATTAAGATGAAGCTGTCTGTGTGTGACTACAGGACATGGATGCACACTCATGCTGTGGGAAGCAGACCTTCATAATCGCTCCGTCACTTACAGCATAAAGCTTTGTGAAAAGAATAACTCAGATCATATCTTGGTGCTTATTTCTCTTCCTGCTGATTTGATTTAACTTTCCGTTGCATCCAGTCTTTCTGCACCAGCTGTCACACACTCAGGAGACTCCCTACATCAGAACGAACATGACTAAACTTATGTTTGGCTCCTCTCCACCTTCCAGCTGGAGCAGATTGCAGGACAAAAGGAAAAAAAAGTGGACACTCCGACTCCACCCTGCGAGTTTCACAGGTCTGGAAAAGAGATCTTACAGGATGTGATTCATTAAAACTCTGCTTGTCGTCTCATTTGATCTGTGATTGTTGTCTTTTTTCTGTTATCCATTTGGTCTCACGCTGTGTTTTCACAGTAAAAGATTTCACTTCACACAAAGAAAGGTCGATAACTCCGTGAGCTCTCTGATCTCTTCAACGTGTGCCTGAAAGCAAAGTCGGCAAACTTCAAATACGTGATGTAAATTAGTACGTTTTAAATTTTAAAAGAATTTCCTGAAAATCTGGAAAACAAAGTGCAAAAATAAAACACGCATCAACACATCATGGCTATCCACACTGTATTAAAAATACCAGAAATGCTTTATTGTAATGTAAGTAAATACTATAAATACTAAAGCTTTAGAGTTG